GATTAGTAGTGACATATTTGTGACCAAAATTATAACAATTTTGTGAGAAGTAAAACATCTGCCAGAAATCTGTGCCAACAACATGGCTACTGTGTCTTGAGCATTCAAAAACTAATAAATTTTGAGGCTTGAGCATATTTTTGATTATAACACCTAAGACTAAATCCTGCAGGAGGAATATCTCCATCTATGACCTAATTTTTTTCCTCACACAATTTTAATATTTTTCCTATTTCTACCATCTATCATTTACCTACACATTATTCTAACGATTAATTTCCGTAGATCGCTTATGGCGATTCAGCCAGTAAATTAGCTAGAACTTAAAAGCAAACGTTAAAACTAATTTAATCGTTATGGAAATTAAAGTTATTACATTCTTAAGCAATTAAATACAAATGACAGCCGCGAAGAAACAATAAAGCGTATTTTAATTTATTAATTACATGTATATAATTTGATTGTTATAGCCGAAGACGATGGCAGCGGCATAAATCTTTAGCATAATGTTCATAATAAAACTTTTTTCTTGGTGACAAAATGTAAGAAGTAACCGAGGTAATATAAATCATACGTACAAATGACTTCACAAAATTTAGCAAATAATGTATTGATTTATATATGAAGAATTTTGAAAGAAAATTAAATGAAACACAAAAAAATAAAAAGTATCGAAAAAGTAGCAAAAACATCACAGTAATTACATATGACATTGTTTAGGGACATAAAAAAAGGTTTATCAACTTTTCGTTAATTATTTTAATCAACTGAGGAATAAAGAAGGTGCTTTCCCGGGCAAATAAGAATTGATTTTTCTGATTTCTGATTCCTCCATCAATCTTTAAATCAAAGATCATATTATAGCCGACGTCGTAAAACCATCAGAAAAATAAATCAGATCGCGGTCGGCACCATTTAATCTTTGAAAATTCATGATCAAAAATATTTCGAATTCAGCCCCAACACATCAGACTGGAACCTTGTAATAAACTCTAACGTCCTGGAATAACAATATTTCATGGATTTTATAGGTTGCGCTTTGAAGTGGCCATAAATATAAAACTAGACACTAAAATATGCAACCATTACTTATGATATGTCAAAATTGTGAATTACGTCTTTTTTATAGTTTGCATAAATGCACAATGATTACTTTTTCATTTTTCATTTTCGTCAGGGCGAATTGAAGAAAGATTTTATTATCGGGGAATATTATTCGGGAAATTTATGGTACATTGAATCATAGTATCATCATCCATGACGTAAACAATATGGGCAATTAATTGGATTAATTGTTACCAGATTGATAATTAGAAACTGTCATTAGAATATAAACGCAAATATTAACGAGTATGACGACAGAAGCAAGGGCATACTTAAATTCCAATTAATAAATAAAAAATATTATGATTGGGCAAAAGTAGGATTAGGATATTAAAAAAAAGTAATTAAGACTTGTCTTCTTCTTGGGACTTGAAATTCGCCAGAATCTTAATAATAAAATATCGACTCTTCTGATAAGCATCCAATCAAATCAGAGCACAACAATTGATGGCATTTAAAATTGGCGAACAGTAAACCGTAATCCTTTGGATCGAGGAAATATATAAACTAGACGCTCGGGTAGTAAAATCTGAACGTAGTAGAGTTTGCTTTTAACAAATGGATCAGCAGAATTGACCCACCCTTTTATAACGTTTATTCGCAATTCTCGTAAAACTTGAGGAAATTGACTTTTCTTTTTTACACGATACGAACCCGTTGCGCTGACTCATTCGCTCGTCCATGTAATTTCATTACATTTTCACATAAAAATTAGAAATAAAATAACGAAAATCCCAATCACAATTTTAATTAAACGAAATTTATAAAATAGGTCGACGGTGCAAAGTTTAGAAAAAGCTATAATCTCATATAAATTTGTAATTGTTCTATTCTAATATAATTTAAACTAATTTGTATTTCTAAATTGTTCTGCAAGATTTTTTAATTTATTTATTTAACAACAATCAGAATCCTCTGAGATGAGGAGTCCTCTGAGATATATTACTGACTTCTGTTTATAACGTGGTTTCATAGATGACAACTTAAACTTTCTAAATGTTATAAATTTATTATTTCAATTTCTGTAATACTCTACTGATGTTTTTTTATTGATGCATCAATGCCCAGTAAAGATCTGGATCTCTATATTTTGCTCTCTATATTTTCAAGCAAACTACTATTGACATAAAGTTATCACCAAGAAAAACTTAATATATTAAAAAGTGATGACAACAAATTTGTAATATAATTTTCCTATATGCTCGATTGCTTCTCAAATTCCACACATTATCTATGTAAACAAGTTCTTAAAGCAAATGAGATACTTCTTAGTCTCAAAAATGTAGTTCTGGAATATATGATTTTTTTTAATTATTAAAGTTTAACTTATCAAGAATATGTGTACAAGAGGATTTTTCAAAATTCAAATTATTTTAGGAAATTTTGTTCTTGACCACGATAATCGATAATTGTCCACGATAATTGAAATTTGTACAGCTATTATGATTATTATAAAATTACTATCGGTTTAATATTAATTATGAATAAGCTTGACAAGAGCCTGAAATAATATCTATTATTATTGATTACGGCTTGCTTATGAATAAATAAATAATAAATAAATAAATTAATTAATCTTCCGTTTTCTCGTACTGACTTTTTCTATACCAACGATTTTGGAACTTCTACTGGACTGATTTCCTTGAAATTTATACATCTCTATAAAATATTCTTCAGTATGAACTGCACTCTTCATCAAATACCTATCTTTACTATTTCAAAAAATTCTAGAATATCAAAAAATGTTTTAAAATTTCTTTTAGTAAAAACAGTATATTTTAATATGCCCGCAGTTCATACCAGTGCGACATTAATCTAGATCAATTACAGAACTCGTTTGCTGTTTTACATTAACAGACACACTTTAATGCAGTTTTTCTTCGTACAAAAAATTTCAAACAGCACCTATAGCCACTTAATTTATTGCTCAGTTGTTAGATGTGCCGAGTCTTGCAATATGCAATTGCACCGGCTTTAACCTTACCGCAATATTACTACATATATGCTGTTTGTTTCTCCCGACTTTTATGACATCGTCTTGGGTAAAGGACATTTATATAGTTTCTAGAGTATCGATACAACAATAGCGATTTCATTCATACATCAGAAAATCACAATGTAAAACTGATCGATCTATCCTACAAATCACCAAGATAATGCGTAGTCTAAATGATTGGGGAAATTAAAATAAATTAAATATTTGAAGTATGTATGTATTTTAATACCGACTAACGTACGTTTATATTATTTTGACGCACCAATTATAATATTTGCATCCATCACTTCGAGTACCATATAAGTATAGGAGGCCTCTGATAGCACTTAATGTAATCCTGTTATTTATTGCCAATTAAATGGCTTTTATAGGACCGCACAAATTTCACACGATGTGCATAAAGCAACATTACATAAACGTTTTATTATATGCAAAGAAGTACTTCAAAGTGATTTCTCACGATTGATTGTTATTGAAATTGTAAAAATTCTGGCTAAGGAATTGATCATAGAAAGGAAAGTCTGCACTTATAATAGAAAAAATAATATAAAATTATTCCAGTTCTTTATTATCAAAATTATGTTGTATTTTAAATATTTTTTTGTCAATTTAGAATAAACAATGTTTTGTGATACGCTGTTAACACAGAAATTTCTACATTTTAGTACTCAAGTCGTTAAACACTTCAGCGAATTCATCTACTATTGGTGTTTTTCAATTTTCTCATTTCATACGATGCATTACAAAGACGGATTTAACGACCCAATTAGTTTTTCCTATATAAACATAAAGTAAAACAAGATTTTAGGGGTTCTAAAAGGAAATATTTCTAATATATAATTAGCAACGACAGCTGAGCAAAATAAATTAGTGTTTTTACTAGGACTTAAGACTTCATTTACTCTTCATGGGATAAATGTTTCAAGAGTTTAACATAAAGTAATGTTGATTTAAAGTTTCTATTTTATAAATGCTTTGAATTTGATTTAAAAATATTTTTTTAAATCCATAGGGCAAGGCACAAAGGCCCAACTTGACTTTCAGTAAATATATTCAGTAAAATTTCTAGATAATTCCTAATAAAAAATGTGTTTATCTACATTTTTTCTAAAATTTGTCAACGGTCTATAAAAGGGGTTAAAAGGGACAGTCAGAAAAAAACTGGATCCAATATATTATCTTTATTTTTAAAAGGTTTTTACGAAACAATAGCTACATTATAAAACTAGTGCGAACATTAATCTTTTTTTAACAAAGATCGCATTGTACATAATCAAGATCTAGAATTTTGTCAGAAATATTTATCAAGAAAGTTAGAATGTTTCTGACAAAATACCAGATCTATTAATCCTATTAATTTGGTTTTCTCTAGTAAAATAGATTTTTAATTGAACCTATTTTTTATTTACAATCTTACTAATTACACCTTTAACAGTATAAAAAGTTTAGTTGGTCCTTTTAGCCTCACCCACATGTAAGCTATTTTATAGGTAATATGAAAAAAGTGTTGAATATAACTTAAAAATAACAATACATGCAAAACGTAACAATAACGCATACTTGAAAAATTCATTTAGATGTCAAACTAAATAAAAGACTTTAAAATAAATGAGCTGCCAAACTGCCAAAGTAAAAACTGCTTTTTTATCTCCTGACAGCGACGATGAAAGAATTAAGGTGTTAGAATAATGTAAACTTTTATATTATTTTTTTACCGTAAACGTAAAATTAACGGAATTTATCAAATAACAAGATTCATTCTAAATATGTAACACACATAAAATAATCAATTTAAATCCAAAACAAATTGGATCTGATTATGCAACCGAGCGCAGCAGGGGGTTAAAAAAGCAACAAACCTTCGCGTGTACGATCATTGAAAGTCTATAATAAAAATAATGTAAATTCTCATATGTTCTCTTACCTTAATCCTAAGAACCGTACATATGACGTGGCACACCCATCCTCGACAATTCCTCGCAAGTGTACCTGCTGAGATCCAGAGTTGGTGAGCAACTTCGAAGTATCGGCAAAGACTGGTATTGTGTTGATGAAACTGCCGAAAATGCGCTCATTTGGGTTAGCGAATGGATTTTCTGGTACAATTGATACCTATGCCATGACACAATTGGTTCACACAAACCTACGGCTAAAAAAATAGATAGATTAAAATAAATGTGTAATACAGATTTACGGTGGAGTGATCTACTTGAAATTTATATACCCCTCTAATAAACTTCTCTTCAGTATGAACTACATACTGAATGAAATATGGATCTAAACCATTTTAAAAAAATTCTAGAATCTCAAAAGATGTTGTAAAAAATACTTTTTTCGAACAGTCTCTATTTTGTAAAAACAGTATACTTTAGCATGTCCGTAGTTCATACCATTGCGACATTATTCTAGACCATGAATCGTGTACTGTTATAGAGCATACTAAATTATCCTGAAAATATAGAGTCCGCCAAATAACTTTTTTTAAGGGGTACGACTTAAGCAACCCTACTGTGTACTCTGCACTCTCTACATTTCACTTTCAAATAAAAAAAGTGAAAATATTTAGTGAATTTTTAATAGAGTTTTCAAACAAAAAGAAAATTGGCAAAATATTGAGTAGATTTTTTAAGGAATTTTTCAAAAAAAGCTAGTTGGCGGACCCTATACAATAATAGGTTAAACAAAGGATAAACAAATACAATATAGAAGTTATGAGGAGTTGGTAACCAGGGTGGACAGGTTTCACTAAACTGAAATAAATGTTATATTTATATTTGGCTGTGAAAAATCTGCTCTGGCTCTAAAGTTATTTCACGATTTACAAAATACCCAGAATTGGCTATGAGGCATCTAATTCATTTACATAATGAAATATTAAGTAAAAGAATTTAATGTTAAATGGTAAGTAGTATGTAAACTATCTGGAGATAATACCAAAATATTTCACACCTTGGGTCATTTTTGGACACATTTTTAAGGCGTTCCAGAAATTCCTGGAATGATCTACTGTGGTTATCAACTCCTCATAAATGATATTTCCTTGATTTTGGCACAAAGAATTATATATTACTAGTATTGTAGGACATATAGTAGTTGCATACTGCAAACCGAAGTTCTGCAAATCACCTAAAAATCGATAATACTAAGATAAATTATAATTCAAGTTAGCTGCAAAAATAGCCTATAATTTTTCTTCTCGATATGAATCCTATATCTTATGGATTACCTAAAATTTGATAAATTTATAACGGTAGTTTTAATAAATTTAAAAATGATATGGTATAAAATTTAACCAAAATTACTGATTAAGAAACAAATCCAACTCTAGAGAAAAATTCAATTTCTAATGCTAATTTAGAGTTCACACACTTATAATTACGTTCATAAAAACTTCTTTTTACAATTCGATAGTGTTGTTGCCATAAAAATTAGATTTTGCAGAAAATAAATATTATAAAATTTTGAAGGTGAAATTATATTAATAATCTTTTGTTTTAATTCAGAACCTGCGATTCAAAGCAGAAAATCATCTATCATCAATTATAATGAAAGAATTGTTATAGAATTTATATTGAATATACTATACTCAAAAATATGAGCTGATGTACTCCTTAAGAAGCAAAAAATTTACTCCGAGGGAGTAAATCAGCTAATATTTTTGAAAATTGTATATTAATTGTATAGATTCTATAACAATTCCTTCATTATAATTGATGTTAGATTGATTGAAAACTTAGATAAATTAGATGCCTCACATATATATTTCTTTGAATATAATCAAGAAGCTCATATTTTTTATGGTTATTAAATCTTATATATTTATTATATTGATACCAAGCCAAGTCTTCTTTATTATGAAGTAGCAGTCATAAACAAACAAACTCCTTTTATTAATCGTTAATGAACAGAATTAACGTACTCAATTCTAATCCCACAAAACATTACCGAACAAAAGTACAGCTTCTTTCCTTTTACAAGACAATATATACCTATTCTTAATACTATTTTATTATGCATGCCAACTTTATCAGTTAGTTAATTAAATTGACATATCAATCAAGTCTACGACAATGAGATTTAGCTGCCAATACGAAGGTGTCTCAATAGAAGTCTATATCTTGAAGAAAGTCATAATTCTTTAGAATAAAGTTTTAATATACTTGGAACAATAGTGGAAATTGCGTATTAAACGCAGAATATTATAGATACGCAAGCATTGTAATGAATCACGTGTGTTTTGTATTGAGATTGCACCTTTGATTAGAAAACAAACCACCAACGATGGTAATAATCTTGGCGACAACAGATTTAGAAATATGTGTCTATTACTTACTTCGACTATTATTCCAGTGGAAGCAGATAAATTAAATTACTTAAAAGGAAATCTATTGTAGGTTTAAGAAACGTAGAACACTGAACTTTTGTAAATAAAAGAATTTTTTAATGTACAATAATACCATATTCACTTTACTCCTATATACCTACTTATCTACCTGTTTTTTATATAAATCTTATAATAGATAAGAAAAATTAATTTGTCAATTACTATTAGCTTTTATTTTTTTACCTAATAAGTCTGATATCTGGCATTTATTTATATCATATTAATATCACGTCATTATAACGTTTTTCAGATGGTTAACTAACAATATTTTGGAATCGTTAACCTTCCTACAGAGAGTAATCAATTATTTAAGGGGGAAACACCTTTTCTTGTAAGCCTGCTTTAGAGATAGAAATTTTTGACAAAAATGTCTTCCAAAACTAGCCATAATATATTCCTAAAATTTCAAAAACAAATTCAAATTATTTTTAGAATTACAGAAGAAATTGTGAGCAAGTTTGTATACGAGCGGAACGAAAACTTCGACGCACGATTTCTCGATTTTTAATTTTTCCGATTCTTCCTAATTGGCGGGAAAGATAGGAAAAAATACTAAACGTCCTATCGAAACGAGACAAAATTCATTGTATTCAGGACTAAATTCTGTTCTATTCCTAAAAAAAAATTGAAAAAAGTTATAATTAACTCACTTTTTAAACAATCTAAAGTGAAATTTCGTATAAAAAACATGATATTTTTTCAAGTTGCGAATAATTGGTAAATTTCTATTTTTTTCTGATTTTTTAGGTTCAACTAGAATCTATAGTATTGAAAATAAATATATTTGATTTTTTCGTTTTCGATGGAAATTGTGACCTGCATTTTTCAAATGCTAAATGACACCGGCACGCTCGTGGCATCGACAAAATGCTTGTACACAGCATATTATGACATATCATCTGCTGGATTTAAGGATCTCCAAAAACAATAATTTATCCATAAATGAAAATTTACCGAAATGTTACACACGATAGACAAAAACATATATAGTCAAGTCATTTGGTCGTTTTGCCGGTACAGTACTCCGGGAATTTTGAAAATTGGTAATCTTATAGATTTCGAGGTGCTCTTTACGAAAATCAACTTTGCCACCTCAAATTTGAACGGCAAGTTGCCGCCATATTGAAAAAATGGCGTCAAAAATAGCTTTTTTAAAACATCTCCTTTCTGGCCTATTCAACGATAAAAGTATCTATGTACGAATTAAACTAGATAAAATTTCCTACAATTCTTTAGAAAACCGTTTTTTTGTAAAATTGATAGTTTGAGAGTACGGCCGCCTCAAAGTCTTTGCTGCTCTCGCCGTAGTACCAAATCTTTCCATATATGACAGCACTTCGAACTTGACCAAATTCTCTCTAATAAATAAATATTTTTATTGTTAAATTAAGCGAATAAGGTCTAGAAATAAAATAATTCAAATATTTTTCGTTTTTTTTTTTGCTGATTTTTTAACACTTCAAGCTAGTAGCTATAAGTAAGTAGCTTGAAGTGTTAAAAAATCAGCAAAAAAAACGAAAAATATTTGAATTATTTTATTTCTAGACCTTATTCGCTTAATTTAACAATAAAAATATTTATTTATTAGAGAGAATTTGGTCAAGTTCGAAGTGCTATCATATATGAAGACATTTGATACTACGGCGAGAGCAGCAAAGACGTTGAAGCGGCCGTACTCTCAAACTATCAATTTTACAAAAAAACGGTTTTCTAAAGAATTGTAGGAAATTTTATCTAGTTTAATTCGTACATAGATACTTTTATCGTAGAATAAGCCAGAAAAGAGATATTTTGAAAAAGCTATTTTTTGACGCCATTTTTTCAATATGGCGGCAGCTTGCCGTTCAAAATTGAGGTGGAAAAGTTGATTTTCGTAAACGCACCTCGAAATCTATAAGTTTACCAATTTTCAGAATTTCCGGAGTACTGTACCGGCAACAGCCTTTTTTTGCACCAAATGACTGGACTAATAATACAACATAATGTTCAAACTAGCTGTAAGTGGAATTCTGTCTTAAGGCAATTAGGGCATCGTGCCTTAAGGCAAATTGCTGGAACTTCCCGTACCAAAAATTATTATTTTTTTAAAAACGATTAACATGTTTGAAAAAAATTTAATCAAAAAAAAAAATAGATTTGAGAAACTACAAATTTGACAAAAAATTACTTTTTTTTGAAAAAAAAAATTTATATGAAAAAAAAAAATTTTTTTTTGGATACAAAAATTTTTTTTGAAAAAAAAGTTTGCTTCATTTTGACATATTTTGGAAATTCTGAACTTTTTTTTCAAAGCAATCGCACTGCTTGAACTGCATAGAGACGAAATATCAAAGCGCGCATGTGCCGCGCCGCCGTCCAACGCATAAGCATTGGTACGGAACCCATAAAAATGTAAAAAAAAACAATATACTTATTGTTAAAATCTCTATAAAATATCTGATAATTTGATGTGCATATGTCTAATGATAATTTTTAACCGCCGAATGGCATTATTTTTTACTTTTTTCATTAGATCTCCGAAACCGCTAGACCTACCTCCATGAAAATTTGATCAATTCTACATCTTGTCAATACAAGTAAAATGTTTTTTGAATTATTCAAATCGGACGCTCCGTTCTCTTAAAAACGGAGGTACCGTTCGTGGCACTTTTTGCCCCGTATCTTCGGAACGGATAGACCTGCCTTTGCCAAAAACTAATCAGCACGTCTCCTTATCAATACGAATCGAATGTTTTTTGAATTATTCAAATCGGTTGATCCGTGTT